AACGTGATCAAGGTGACTGACTCGTAGTTGATTTCCGAGAGCTTTTCTCGCTGTCAATTTTGAATAAAATTCATTGACATTGATAAAACGTTTTATTTTAGAGTGTTTTTGAATATTTATGATGAAATAAGAAATATTGGATGCATTTTAGCTGACATTTATACCCACTGAAAACGCATGATATTGATCTGCTGAAAGAGGATTCGGCAAACAGGCGTAGGACCTCAGCAGAGTGGATGGAAATAGTGAGAGCTCTGTCAAATGTCTGTGAACTAACTACTAATTCTGATTCCGGACGTGAAATGACATAACAAATTTTATTAGGTAGTTATTGTTGCCAAATGAGAGACGGATTGACATGGTTCTGGTTTCAGTTACGTTCCCGTTGTGGGCGCTTGTACTTAATCGTTTTCTGACACCCGAGAACGTAACGCAAACGAAATTAGAACATCACGTTACGTTCCCGTTACGTACGCAAATCTTAAACTCTCTAATATGAAGTGGACTTAAAACACTAGGAGGCCGGTCACTGGTGGACTACACCATAAGGGCTGTAATGTTTTCCACGTTCTAAGTATTTGCGTTTGGAATTTGCCTATACAACAATTCACTAGAGATCACATGACATGCATGCAATCTTGTCGCCGAGTACGGATACTGCAGTTTTCAGAGTATGGAAAAATTGACTTGTAGAACAAAGTTTATTGTGATTTGAAAAAATATGATTTGAAAGTTCTTTACTAATTAAAACATACGCCCTTCTAGCTGAAAAATACACATCAGCATCGTGACGACGAATTGACAGCCTGTATGGATAGACCGGATTATATTCATTGTAAGTTACGCGAGTGTTTCCTGGCAAGTGTTAGGCGATATTTAAAGTTCGAATATGATACCACTTGAATTATTTGGGTGATACAAAAAAGTAAATCCAAGTGTTAAATAACAATAGAACATATTGTTTCACTGGCAAATTTGTAGTCTTCAAAACACAGTGGATATGCTCAAAATAGTGAAATGAAATACCAATTCAAATAAATAGTTTTACAGCATTGTAATACATGTATGGTGCCCGTACCGTACAAGTACGAGTGGTGAGGCAATACTTCTCTTACGGTGTACGTAACACAATGCATAGAAAACGTAATCGTACGAGTGGTGAGGTGATACTTCTCTTACGGTGTACGTAACACAATGCATTGAAAACGTAACCGTACAAGTACGAGTGGTGATGTAATACTTCTCTTATGGTGTACGTATCACAATGCATTGAAAACGAAACCGTACAAGTACGAGTGGTGAGGCAATACTTATCTTACGGTGTACGTAACACAATGCATTGAAAACGAAACCGTACAAGTACGAGTGGTGAGGCAATACTTCTCTTACGGTGTACGTAACACAATGCATAGAAAACGTAATCGTACGAGTGGTGAGGTGATACTTCTCTTACGGTGTACGTAACACAATGCATTGAAAACGTAACCGTACAAGTACGAGTGGTGAGGTAATACTTCTCTTATGGTGTACGTATCACAATGCATTGAAAACGAAACCGTACAAGTACGAGTGGTGAGGCAATACTTATCTTACGGTGTACGTAACACAATGCATTGAAAACGAAACCGTACAAGTACGAGTGGTGAGGCAATACTTATCTTACGGTGTACGTAACACAATGCATTGAAAACGAAACCGTACAAGTACGAGTGGTGAGGTAATACTTCTCTTATGGTGTACGTATCACAATGCATTTAAAATGTAATCGTACAAGTACAGCAACTCACAATCGCGCAATGCTTCGTGGACATTCACGGTGACTCATTAGTATTCGATTTCTATAATTCTTTTCTTATACAAAATAGAAAGTTACGATGTTATGTGTACGTTGAGTTGTCCTCATATCTACTCAGGAAGTGTCCAAATTGTCTGACTTCAAACTCAGTTTTCTCTTGAAAGGTTATTCAACCCCAGTTTAGATACAATTATACCACGTGCCACCAGCTAATACTGTATCTGCTGTGCTTGTCCGACTGAGCGCAAAAGTCGTGTTTACTTCATTTATTACTACATGAAATGAAAAGTAAAGAAACAAAAAGCATAAAGAAAAAAAAAAGAGAATAATTTGTTTACAAGGAATGTGGGACTGGCTTAGTTAATGAAGGTGCTGCTGTCATATATTAAATATTATATTGTTTTATATTGTCCTAACATTTTCTCATCACTTAGTAATAATATGAATTTATTTTCATTACCACTATAGTAGTCTGAGCCTAAAGTAAACCGACGTTGGCCATACTGGAAACCCAGTCCGCCATTTCAAAAGCAGTTGTTCCGTCCGAAAATACAAGGCTTTGTTAAATAAAAAAAAATGCAAATATATGTACTAGCATAGCATTGCTTTCAAAAAGATTATTTTAAAAAATGCAGATTACATCGAATCCCACGATTTCGTGGACACGATAAAACACAAGCTAGTTTCCAAGGAAACGGTGGCCGAATAAACTGACATTGACTGCCGAAGACATCGCCATTGACTGCATATATCATTGTTGTCCTACGAATTATTGTTTTCGTTGTACCACACGTGTTGACGGACCGCGGTTGTACCTATGTCGTTATCTAACATTGTCAAGTTCGTGGCTACATAGTCCCTCTACGACAGTGGACGATTGATGACACGTAGGGGTTTACCATTATTCCCGGGGAGGGACGGGCATAGATTTAGAAAAAAAATACCAGGTACGAGTCGTGTTTAACGCGAACATTGTGTCATCCTTCCGGTACAAAATAATGCTACTGTACCCAGTAACGAACAAATTAACTTTCCTTGAGTTATAACATATCGATGATCATTGTTAATATTGGTTCGCCCTTCATAATACAAATAATAAAAAAAAAAATATTTTTTGCACGCAATTATTAATTAATTAATTACTAGTATTTCGCGCAATAATATTAGTATATTTTTACGTGTTAGAATATACAAGTATTTGGTATTACGGTTCCATCCGTCTATATCAAACAAGATGCATTGCAAGAACATCGTAACAGCAAAGCTGTTTACATTCACAATCTGAGTAGTCAGTAATTCTAGTTATCGAAATAACATTTTGATGTGCGTTTTTGTCATAATTTTTAAATCCATTATTATGTAATCATAGCCTTAGTGATGCCAAATTAATACACAAGATGAAATGATAGAATATTCGATCATGCTACGTACATGCGCAAAAAACTAAAAACATCTCGACAGTTAGATATTAGTCGACAAAAACGTCCAGCTATATTTTCACATTATGTACCACACTGATAAATTGTTCTCAGAATTACATAAATTAAGCTAGAGATGCAGGTTTTTTTCCTTTGCTTTTATTATCCAAACAGTCTTGGCTATAGACTGTTAACATTTTGTAGAATTGTGAATAGTGGAACATAGACAAAAGACGATTTTAAAATATAGATAACAGGTACAAACATTTTCTCTTTTGATTGCTTAGCAAGATTTTGCAGGGCTGTACATAAATAATAAAACAGAGACATGGCGAAAAACAGGAATGACGGGATCTCCATATAATGCACAATATTTAACTTTATACAAAACGATAATACATTTAAATTTGGAACTGTTACAGCCATTTTAATTATGAGCATTAGCAAACTTCTTACTGAGTGAATTGTTATGCAAATTAGCAATTATCTCAGCTTCGTTTTTAGTGCACATCCCACTACTTAAAAAAAATAGCTCCTAGACGCTTTGACCTTTTGTTTTGAAATTTTCACAAATGATTGACAATGTGTTTATCTTCAAAACGCCGTCGGGCCCTGGTCGGGGCATTGTTTTTGGTTGAACAGTGTTACAACAGTCATACAGACAACTAGCCTGGATGTTAATTTATGCATAAACTTGAAGTAGTCAAATTTGAGCTGCTGCCCTGCAAAATTGACAACTGGCAGTCAGTTTTCAAGACGGCACTTTCTTCATAGTAAACAGATGTACACGTAAACCAATTTTGACAGGAAACAGAAGCATGTTTTAGAAGCTAATTTTTTTTAAATCACTTTTGACCAAAAAAGAACATTTTTGTGCATATTTCAAACTACATTGTCCATAAAAAAAATACTAACAAAATTTTAAAATTCATACAATAAGCTTTCCGAAAATATATAGTTTCGTGGACAAGAGAGGTCATCTTGGTTTCCTAATTAACTAATTAAAATACCTGTCCGGTAAATTGCATCTCTACCTTAAAATATATTTGAAAATGGTGAGAAACACAGATCATGTCTCCAGAATAGAATATAATACTTTATTATGGCCTTGAAGAAAATTTGACATTCCTTTTTTGGTTCATAAATGATAATAATGATTTGTTTAGAATACAGCTTAACTGTCAGCAGTGGTGAAATAATACAGTTACCATGAATTTCATGTTTATTATATTGGATATGTGGAATAAAACCAGGAATAAAAGTGTTATTTAGTTTAGGCATGGAGGTACTTCCATGGTTTAGGACAAGAGCTGTATGATATGGGCAATCCGGAGTTATGTACGGTCGAGCACACCACAGTCCAGAGGGACTGTGAGCACACGTATGGAAACACTCGACACTGTGACTCGACACAGGAAACATTTTGGCCTGTAAGTCGGTAGCCGATCACCGACATTGCGAGGAAGGGGGTCATTTTCCAGATGTTTGCACACATTATAGCCTCTACCCCCACCCTTGGATAGTGGGTGGGGAATTAAACTTGGTCAAGAAAACTCCACAGGAAGACGCACCATTACCGGAGACTTTATTCAGCTGACTCTATAAACAATAGGGGCTATATGGGTATGGACCAACTTTGTGAAAATCGTGAACTTGTCTGTGATGTTTTGACGAGCACACATTCAAAGTTCAAGGTTCTGCAGTTGCGCAATGGTACGTAACCCACTCACCCCAAGTCAGTCATTCAAAGTGGGTGGTATCTTAGAAAATATACTGACCGGTGATTGGTCAGACGATAGCTTTGCTCGTTCAATCCATTACGTCAGCGTATTTACATGAGAACAGTACGAGCACATCATTTATGCAAATGAGCTGTGTAGTAGATGCTGGCCAGCTGGGCAGAAAGTATCATACACTGCATGGCTAAGTCCAAGGCGTGAAATATTTCCACCAAGCCAAATACCTTTTTTCACGTCCGCAAATATGAGTGAAGAGAAACTCTACGATTTCCAGCAGCAATTCGAGGAAGATAAACAGAAGATTCCTCCAATAAGCACATTTGCGAAAGCTTCAGCTTACGGTGAGTTGAAAAAAGAGTGGTTTCCAACTGTTTTCTGGCTCGCACACTACCACACCCTTGCCGACATTATTGACCATGTTTATTCTGGGATCAAACTCGATTTTCTGACAGACATCTTAAATTTTATACGCTTGTATAGATTCCCCGAATTGGCAAAGTACGCTTCTCGTTCACAGTGGTTGTCATTGCGGAGAAACCAACGATTATTTTCGAGGCAGTGAGACTGCTGTCTCAGGCGTTGCTCGATAAACTCTTCTAAAGAACTGGTCACCACGGCTTCGTCACAAATGCGTGCCTGAAAAAAAATACATGATCTTAGCCGAGACCTACCTATGTCCAGCTATGACTTATAAATGAACACGTGTAATAACAACAACTTGCAAGGTTCAATCGTTACGAAATGTTACGTAACTTGTCAAGATCTTTAAGTTTTTAAGGTTGCGCACAAACGCCGTGGCCAGAGAGAGCGGCTATGTTAGGTGACAACTGCTCTATTGAATGTCATGACCGGAAGATAGCCATATGCGGGGTGCGTTTATTTATCTATTTATTTTGAACAACACAGCTGCTGGAAACAATATTACCTCGAAATACTTATTAGTATTTACGTATTGGTTGCTAAAAGATTCGTGTTTGTCTTATTTTTCGATGTGCTTCTGACAGCGACCTCAGCCGCTTTTTATGGGGTAGAAAAAGAGAACATTTCGTAGTGTCAATGGTCTTGCGGTCATTGCTCCCAAAAGTGAACGAGCATAATGCGCCTTGTAGTATGCAACTTTGATTATGAGTTGGTCTTGGTTCCAACCAATAATTGGATTTTGTTAATTATAGTCATGATAACCAGATTGAGAAGCCATGGCGTGGCAAATTTCGTCTCTGCATAGCTTTCTCGGGTTTTCAATGAATATTTATGAGTTGTATTCGCCCCAACAACACATAATCAAAGTCACATTTCGAGAGCTCTGTGTTGTCATGGCATTCCATAAATTGTTGCAGATATTTTAATTTCTGAAACGAGAATCTCGTTCAAGGAAGTCATCAGGACTCGTTGTCATTAGTGAACGCAGTGGTTCAACCAACAGCAGTGTTATAAAACTCCGAGTACTCGTATTTGTTTTGTTTCAGGCCTTTCCTAATTTGCATATCGTTTATTTGCCCATGACCAAAAGTATTAAGGGTTGGAGTCACTGACCGTGAGCTTGAACTCTATCTACTATAGACGTGAAAGGACTGGAATTAAGTCAGTTACATTGTAGGTTTCCCGAATTACAACGATGTAATTACTACGTTATTATATACCCGTCATTTCTATAAACCAAAATGTTAACTGCACATACCATGCCAAAATTGATGAAACCTATTACTAACCAATTCCGAGTCGGTGTCGTAGTTTTATGGTTTGATTACAATCTTTCAATAGAGTGCACACACATTGGTTAAGACATGGACGTCCATGATTAGGGTTAAATAAAAATGTCACAATGTGCTTATGCTCGTTTGTATTTCGGTGTTGCCGAATAACGCTCGCAACGAAACAATCGCAAAATATGCGTGTTTATACTTAACTATCGACATTATCTTCGCCAAAGTATTGCAATACATCCAACACGCTTAGCTTTTATGAAAGGCAGTATACATGAATTGTTTGCGTAATTACACTTTTAAACACCAGGTTTTTATAAATCCCCGTATCAAATATTTGTTTAAACAGGGGGATTATAGATATTTTTAATTACCAATTTAACAAAAAAAGGTCATAGAAGATCATCACGTCACGGGATTGATACTTATTTTTCATACTCGAATGTGAATGGGCTTCTTTTGGTGAACGAAACAATGATGTGAATGAAATGCATCATCTCAGTGATCAGCTGTTACAACTGAAAGTTACCAAACGAAACATCCACCATCTAGTTTCCTACTTCGGGCCTCATGTAGATGATCAAAATGGGGCACAGACCAGTCATACATCTCTTGTAAAATGTAGCAGCTATTTAGCATAGTTTTTTGGGGGTTATCTCAACAAACATCAAAACATTTTAAAGTGCAACATTCAAATCTTGTGACACTTCGATTGTGGCGAGCGAAAAAAGTCGTACTAAATTTTTGTTTTGTTTTGATCGAAAACAAAAGAGTGAAAGAATACATGCAAATGAATCGTTGACACATTTGATGTTGTTTATTTATAGCGTCGTTTTCTTATTGTGACTATGGTTTAGGCATTGTTTTTATTAGGGGTGACAGCTTTTATTCACTTACATAATTAGCATGTCAAACATTTAAGTGCCTCCATGGTTGAGTCATGGCCAGCCTGTGTTGATCGATCAGAGCCCTTTTCACACAATTCACGCCAGTTAGTAACTACTTGGAACGTTAGCAACTAATACAGGAACTATTTTAGTTGCTCAATAATATCAATTATTTGAAGTAAAAAGTAAAAAATGCTGACATATACGTAAATAAGAGTAGAAATACATTTAATAGTTCGACTAAATAACATAGAATCGTTTTTATGTCAATGTATTTATTACTATAATCGTAAAAAGATAGTGCTTATAGTGTTAAATTATGTTTATATTGTGCATTATGTTAGATTATGCTTTTTACAATACCAAGTTACGTGCACAGGAGGGCCGGGTAACGTCGATGTTACTGTCTATGTAGATTAGCCCAGCTGTGAGATTTTCTTTCAGTTAAATCATAATAATAGAAAACTTGGAAAAAAATAGCTTTGCAATATTTGGGATGAAGGCGAAACCACCACAGTGATTTCGCGGTTACAGGTGATTTCGCGATATTTAATTCAAACTTAAAAAGGAAGAAATCACTCAGACTGCGCCAGTTTGTGTCCATGGTACATGTACTTTAATCAGAGGAATTTCCACACATTCAAGAGTCAACACGATTTTCGGTGTTGTGCCCGAAGCTGTAATTAAAATCTTAAGCGTTGGGGCGATCGTGAACAGATTGCCTTCACCCGGTCCCCAGGCTATGATTCTACGTAACTCAAATTAAAACGAATGGTGCTATCCGGCTGATCGGTAATTTGTCGGGGCAGTCAATCAAGGGCTTCTTTATCAGTAGTGACTATACAGATTCTATTTTTGCTTGCTATTAATTAGCAGTTGGCGGGTTAGCTGGCAGATTCGCATCGCCCGAATGTCGCCCCCTATTAATTAAACACAAGCTACTTGGGGTTAATCATTGACGAGAAACGCGTGTCCGTGACTGGCGTATTAATTACAACGCGACTAATGAATAATTGACTACGTTTTCATTTTTTATGGATAATAATGAATGCCAATTGCAATGCACGTCGTATTGGGGGTTGTAATGTAAAATGGAACACGTGAATAATTATAAAAATAACAAGTTAAGTATAAAATACAAATCGGGAGCAACACATTTGTTTGTGATTCTCAACAGATTTTCATTTCTAACACTTGTACTATTAAACTATGTTACCAACATTTAAAACCGGGAAATACAAACTAAATCTAAAGCGCACACGGAAATTCATTTCTACGAGTTTTTTAAATTATCTATGGATGACGAAATGTGAACGAAAACATAAATATTGTATTAATATTATAGTTTGATACTGCAATTCGATAACCAATGAAATAACAAATATGCATCATACTGTATAATATTCGTGTAACGAAAACTGAAATGCGCTAAACGCATATACAGTGATCGTTGCTTCACGCGTATTGTTTCAGAAAACAATTATTCATCTCTGTGGTACAGAAAAACCTTTCTAATTCAATAATAAATTATAACCCAATGCATTCGTATCAAAAGTATCAAAGAATATTACATTTTCTCGTTCATTATTGCCCCCCCCCCTCATCATAAGATGTGCAATGTGAATAAGAACGACTATTACGTTTTTTTCTTTCTTAAATATTGGTGTTCTTTACTGCATGTCGATGAACTCATTTCATTGCGACTTATTTTAAATAAAGCTCTTTATGTTTGAAACAGACGAAATAATATTCGTTTGATCAAAAAGGTCGAAATTCGGATGTGCGTCGATACGTACCAATTATGAATGTAATCAGTGTGTACTAACGAAGACTCATAATTTGATCAAACGAATACTCGGCTGTAAATTACAAGAATAACATGTTAAATCCAAAGTGTTATTAACAGGCAATAAAAAATATCAAACAACGATACAATTGAAAATTACATGTTATCATAACTACGAATTTAAAGTTACGACAGAAAAAAAGACGAGAGAAAAAAAGAAAAATCCAATACAGGTCTGTAACATTGTAATGTAGTTTTTTTTTTTTTTTTTTTTTTTGGCGTTCGTCCACGTTTACTGTGGGCGTTACATTTGGTACGTAATTTCAGTTTATCTCCCCTTGGAGGTATGACATTATTTTGTTGTAATAACCCTCCAAGATTTCCATAACCCAGTTGTGGGTAAACAATCCATCGGACATTTACATAATTAGCCTGATTGGGAGACTGAAAACAATCCATCGGACATTTACATAATTAGCCTGATTGGAAGACTGAAAACAACTCATTTTATTTGCATATACTGTTTTCTCATCAGCGGCGCGATACGC